GGGGGGGGGGGGGGGGGGTGGACCGGACGCGGCGCGGGCACGAGACAAGCGAGAGGAGTGACGAACATTTTAGAAAATGTAACTGGTATGAACTGCTGCTGCTGGTGGCGGCGGAGGGGGTCTAGGTGGGCGTGGATGGTGTTGGTCACTGGGGTGTGCCAGCTATGAGGGAGTCGAAGGGAGACACGGACAACGGATCCATTCCAGTCGGCGTGCCTTCTGCCTTTCGCATCGACATCGACCAGAGCTGGCGACCTACGGACCGGCTACACGAGACACAAAACACCAACACAGCACTCAGCAGGAAGACACTCGCAAGGATGCAATTGCAAGGATGCTACAGCAGCAGCAGCAGCAGTACAGCAGGGTGCAGTGATTTTCCTCACTGGACGGCTGTCAGCAACGATCTTCGTTCTTTTTTCAAGGGTGTCTCAATGGACCAGCTGTCCCTTCGCCTTGTACTACTTCGACCAGCTGTACAGCACAGTACAACTCCTGGCTGCTGGTGTCACACGTGTGGCACTGCTGCTGTCACCCAGAGGTCCGTCTGTACAACGGGCGCGGCCTCAAAAGCGGTACAATGTCCGCAGCAGCAGGTTGTCCGCTTATGAATCTCTGTTGGGCCATATGTCCAGGAGCGCGCATCCGGCTCTATATCACACAACCCGACTTCCACGCCACGGCTGCCTTGTGGGAGTTTGCATGAGGCAGTCGAACAGGACCCGCGAAGCAAAGCGCCGGTTTACACGTGTAGTTGTAGGTGCTCCAACGATACTATCACGAAGTACGTTTCCAACGTTCCAATCCATCCACAATACACGGCAAGTTACCATTTACGAAATCAGCTCCCATTGCTCAAAATAATTAGCTTCGGCGCATTAAGGACGAATGTGATGTCTGCTAACAGCAATCACGTTACTGTTCGGAGGGACGGCATATACTTGTACAGCGTAGCAGTTCTCAGAAAATGGGAAGAATCTACGTCGATGTCGTGTGTGCCATCTCTGGGAAAACAAATGAATCCCTCCGACAACCGAAACAACGAAACCGTCTCCCGTCGCGAGCTGTACTACCCCGCACCTGGGCAACGGTCATCGCCACCGAGCTCGAGACGTTGTACTCCCTCCCGTCCCCCGCCGTCTTCACCCGGACCCCGATCGTCTCCTCCAAGCCTACGCCAGACCCCTGCTCGATATCGCCGCCTGTTGACGCTGAGGAGGAGGAGTGCGAGAGGGTGCCCCGCCGACGGGAGAGAAGAGGAGCCGATGACTGCTGTGCCGCCGTGATGGCGTCATCGGCTGTTGGATTCATCTCCCAACCTCCCCGATCAGAGACCCGCGCGCAACCGGGGCGCGGTAGAGGGCTGTGGGAAGGAGAGCGAAGAGCGACAAGCGCTTTACGTACACGGCAGACGGGCTGGGGCTCAAACCTCTCTGGTGGGGGCACGATGATCAGAAAAACCGTAGGCACCTGCAGGTTGCGAAAAAACGTTCACGGAGCCGCCGCTCTACTGCTGTGCGCCTCCGGCTATGGCTAGGCTGCACTCACAGCTGGTACTTACTGGCGTCTCTCTCTTGCCTGACACAAGCAAAGGGAGAATGGAGGCGAGGCCGCCAGTGCCACTACGGCTCAGCGTCGAGGAACGCGTGGAGCACGCGGTGTCCAGCGCGGTGCGGAGAGCGCTGGCGGAACAGCGAAAGACACAAGAGCAGGAACTGGACTCTCTCAGTAATGTCCTGCAAAGGTACAGTACCGTGAGCTGACAACGGCAGCAGGAGTCATAGGTATGCCTATCACACAGCTTGTGTTAGTGAGTACGAGCAGCGCGCGGGTTGTTTGGGCAACAGTGAGCGAAGGATTTGATGGGGTGAGTCAAGGTACGGTTCGTCGTGAGTCGTGAGTCTTTGCTGCATCACGCCATTGATTGCTGGCGACAGGCATGTAGTCTATGTGTGCAAACCTACTGCCCTACTTCAAGTGGAGCCTGTCGCGGCGGTTGCTGTCTCATCAGCACCAGGGGACGCATGGCTACTGCTGTCTCAACCATCTGCTGCCAACGCGACGGAGAAAGCTTGGTGGTCGAAGGCGTGCGGTTTGATCGATTACACTGGAGCACCGGGCATATTGCCTACCAGATTGTTTGCGATTGACCAATGTGCAAACTCTCCGCGCCCGACTGTCTCTCTCTCTCTCTCCCCCTCTCCCTCTCTGATATTCCGGACTAAATAAGTTTTGAGGAAATGGAACAGGCAGGGGGTATGTACGCGGACCCATCGCTAATCCTAACTTCCCCGATTGCATGCTTTTTCCAACATGTTTTACTTGAAATAAGAAGCCTGCGAAGGCTATTGGTCCTGTCCGACAGTACCTGCTCCCCCTTTTCCTGGTGTTTTGCAATAATCTTCAGGAGTCTTGCCGCGCTGGCGGGCGAGCGCGACCGGGCTCTTCGCTCGCTCGCCGCAGAGGAAGACAGGAGGCGAAACATGATCGAGGAGCTGACAAGCCTCCTCGGGGGGGAGCTTTCCTGCGGAGATGTCTCTCGCTTGGCGATGGGTCTCGAGCGCATCGAGAGGGAGGCGGGGCCCGCCGCCGCCTCCGAGGAGGAGGGGGACGGTGGACAGGAACGGGGAAGGGCGTGGGTGCTCGAGGTCGGTCTTGTTGCTGGTTGCTCATCATGCCTTGCTTTTCGTTTTCAGCAACAGAGCAACAATTTCCTGCTGCGACAGGTGCTTGTTTGAGATTCGCTTTTGTGTGCCAATGCGCGTACGTTCGGAAAGCACGTTTGAAGTGTAATAGCACCTCATCCGTGCAAGTGGGGCAACACCGAGATCATTGCACAGCGTCGTATGCTCGCTCCAACAGATTTGCACCCTCACCAGATCCCATGATGTTTTGCGGTTGATGCTGTGCGAACTTGGTCCGATGAAAAGCCAGTGCCCAACCAGATTTTCGGGACCATGGGCTAAACGACTAATAGCGTCCGACGTGCAGATTTTGAGCCCCCCCCCCCCCCCCCCCGCCCCCCCACTGCCCACATCCACCCCTTCTCCTCCCCCCTCGCAGCAAGTGCGCCAGTGCCTGTTCGCAAAAGTCGCGGTGCAGGACCAGCTGCGCTCGTCAGCCGATGAAATCGCGGCCGACATGTTCGAAGCAGAGGAAGGGTTGATGGGGTTCCAGGTGGGGCCCGGTGGCGGCCAAGACGCGGAGGGGGCGTCCCCGATCTCCCGGCCCCCGCCGCCCACCGACGTCGCCGTTGCCGCCGTCGGCCCGGGCGCGGACGGTGGCGCGTTGTGGTCGGCGCGGTCCGAGAGCGTGGCGCGGGCGCGGGCCTCCGCGTCGGAGGCGCTGGCGACATCCCTGCGTCTCGCGCGCCGGCGGGTGGAGCAGTTGGAGGCGCTGGCGCTGGAGGTGAGGCGGGGCGAGAGGAAGAAGAGGGCTGCTGTGGTGGCCCTGGCAGGCGTCGGGGAGGGGGGCGGCGCCGGGGAGTCCGTCGAGAGCGCGGAGCCGGCAGACGGCCTTGATGACGGTGGTGATGGTGATGGTGATAGAGCGGTGGAGGGGGTAGGGGGTGCGGGGGGCTCCGCCTCCTCCGACGGGTCTTTGTCGCGCCCTTCGTGCAGCCAGGAAGGGGCCGTCGATCGGGCAGAAGAAGCGGGGCGGCCTGCTGCCGGCTCCGTCGAGCCGGGCGGCGACGGCGGCACGTGCGCGGCGGAGGCGACCGCCGAAGGGGAAAGGACCGGCGCCGCGGCGACACGACCAGCAGACGAAGCAGCGGCGGACAAGCAAGCCCAAGAGCCCCGGGGGGGAGCTACTGCCGGGAGAACCGCGAGCAGCGGTGGCGACGGCGGCGGCGGCGGCGGCGGTCCCCTCCACCCCGTCAAAACAGACCACGCGTCTGATGGCGGCAAGGGCGCCAGCGTCAGCTTGGCCGCGGCGCCAGGGGGCGGGGACGCCCAACCGCCTCCCGTGTCGCCGGAGTCGTGTGAGGTCGAGCGGTGGAAAATGGCGGCTCGGAGGTCGGAAGCCTCGCTCTCGGACCTCCGCAAAAACCTCGGTAGTGTGCTGGCCCTGTCTTTCATGTGCGGCGAGGAAAGCGCACGGCGCAGGGGAGAGGGGAAGGAGGAAGCAGGTGGGGTTCGGCTCGCCGCAGGGGGGGAGGTTGACAAGGAGGCCGGCTGCGGGGACCCCGACAGCGTGCTCGGAGTTGTGGCGGGGTTGGAGAGGGTCGAGGATGCCGCTGCTGCTGCTGCTGCTGAGAGCAGTGTTTCGGAAGAGGCAGGAGAAGGGACGGGGGGTACAAGTGTCGGCACGAGCCGCGGGCGGGAGAGGTTCTCACCGGGCGAAGCAAAGGCGGCGGCTGTGGACGTTCTCTTGAAGAGGTGACGGAAGGCGAAGTGGTTCTTCGCCCACTTGTTTTCGCTGTGGTAGCCTTGTGTTCCTTGATGGGGTGCATGTGTATGGTTCACGTGTCGTTGCACCCTTGCCGTTGAGTAAAGATGGAAGCTCAAGCTGCTCGAGAAGTGTCTTGAGGTTTGGGCCGTTTAGCTTTCGCATCGGGAGTAGGAACTGGCAATGCTTACTCTTGCCGAACCACCGCTGACTCTGCGTTGCCCTTATCAAACAAACCGCGATTGCCTCATCGTATGAATCTTTGCCTCCTTGTCCACCATATGACACTTTGCCTCCTTGTCCTTCAACATGCGTGCCGGTTTGGTCGCAGGCTGGAGGCGCTGACCGTTGATCAGGGGGGCGATATCGCCCGGCTTGAGGCTTCTCTGCAGGCCCTTCGCGGGTCTAGCGCTACACCAACGGCCGGCGCCGCCGGGGTGTCGAGCTCGGGGAATAGCGGCCGGGGCGATCTTGGAGGGAACGCTCATGAGGAAAGTGCACAGGCGGCGGCTGGATTGAAGGCAGATGACGTTTCGGACCCCAAATTGCATTCACCGGCGGCTGCCGCTGCTGCTGTCGCGCCTAGAGGGGAACGGGAACAAGAGGGAGGGGTGTCGAAGGGGGAGGCGGGTCGAAGAGGGAGGGGATCGCGTGATGCTTCTCCGAAGCGGGATATACGGACGGATTGGGAGGTACGCTTGGTTGTTCTGCGCGAATTGCCGCCACTGCTGTGGTATGCCTAGCTTCAGGCTAAGGCATTCACCGGTACTGGTACCACGTAGGCAATTACCACGGGCTGTCGGTGCCTGTGAAGCAGCTGCAGTGCTTGGGGCTGAAGGTTTACGTTCGGGGAGCACCAATGCGGACAGATTCCCGCTCGGTGCCAGACCTCCCGATGTCCATGTGTTCGTTCGTCGGCTTGATCACCGTAGATTGAATACATCAACCGTTGGCACGCTTGGCCCCCGTATTCGTCGGCCATAGGTTCCAAGGTCATTGGGGTAGTACAACAGGTAAGCCATGCCACTGTACACCCAAAGTACCTACCACCCGTTGAAAACTTGGTTGCTCACACTTTCGTCGCAAGGGTTTTATACCACACTCTTTGGTAGAGGGTAGTTCGACCCTCCGCGGCACTGAGTGGAAAGACAAACCGGAGCCAACATGGCGAGTTTGTCCTCCGAGCCCCTGACCATCGTGCTGTTTAGTTGCACCCGAAGCGAAACGCATCTGGTAAGCCAACGCCGGAGTATTGGTGCCCGCCCTCCCCCCGGCGAGCAGGAGCTAGACGGGCTGGACACCCACCTGGGGCACTATCAGGGGGGCGGCGGGCTCGGCTCGCAGGCCGTCCAAGGCGTCCTCGACCGCTGGATCGACGTGAGCAAGCGCAACATCCTGGAAGGGTGGCTGGGGCACGTCCTACACGGGGGGCCCGTGGATTCCGCCAACGGCAGCTTCGTACCCCGGGTGCAGCTGAGCAGCTTGTCCAAAGAGGTGATCACTTCGTCGCGCAGTAGACAGGGCACACAAAGGGGGGTGGGGGGGGGGGGCCGTCGTTGTAGTTCTCTAGTCGTTAGACCATTGCCGTAAACTACGGAGTTTCCCCCCCCTATTACAGATTCCTCCCCCTCCCATTACCTTTTCGGCCTGGAAGCATGGTTTCGTTGATTTAGCCCCGGGGTAGATCGTTTTCGAACAAAAAAATAGAGATCCCTCCGGGTATTTCAATTTCCCCCCGGGGTACCAGTTTCCCACGAGTTCCCCCCGGGGGGGGATGGGTCGCATTTGTTTTGTGGGTGAAATGCTCTTGTTTTCCTGTCTATTTATTGCATATATCATCCCTAGAGTCAGCGTACCACAGCATGCGGACGAAACCTTGCGCACAAAGGGAACGAATAATCGTATTCATTTTTGGATCTCACAACTCAAGGTAGAACCGAACCATAAAAATGGCTTATTCCTTCTGCCTGCGGACAAACTGCGAATTCTTGTGCATGAGGTTGGCCAATGGTGCCTCTCTTGCGACCCGACAAAAACCTTTTCCGTCTCAGTTTCGCCACTCCCTGTTTGTGTGGTGTGTGGACCATCATTATTTTGTACAACCCCCCGGGGGAGGGCATCCCGGGGTAGCGTTGAGAAAAAAAGTTAACCCGCCCCCGTACGTCACCCCCTGAGGGACTGCAACTGCAAATTGACGCGGCGAAGAAGTTTACTGATCAGTGGAGATTGTCTGCCAACGTTAAGAAGAGTGCCATCATGGTATGCAACGAGAACAAGGAGGAACCAGTAGAACATAGATGATGTGGGGGATTGAGGAGATTGCAGTAGTGGACTATATTATTTAGTACACATACCTCGGAGTAGAGATCGCAAAAGACTGCTCGTGGAATGCACACATGTCCAAGGTAGCGGAAAAGGGCAAAGCACGAGCAGGGAAGCTGCATCCAGTACTCGCAAACCGGCACCTCGATGCACGCATCAAATTGACGGTTTTGGAGAGCGTAATCGTACCGCAGCTAGAGTACGCCGGAGGAGAAGTATGGGAAGGAAATAAGAAGGTAGTGAAAGAACTCGAGGCGGCGCAGATGAAAGCAGCGAA